CAAGCATTCACTTTGTTCTTTTCCTTAAAAGTGTACAAGTATATTATTTATATTTTTTCACCTATGATAGGTGTGTCTTGTTACTTACCTCCTTAGATAGGCAACCTCAGTCCACTCAATCTAAAATAATGACTCTGTTGTTTTATATCACCACATTACCCTATTTTATTTTACCTATTTTATTGATTTTTTTACAGAGAGGAAGGGAGAGGGATAGAGAGATAGAAACACGGATAAGAGAAACATCGACCAGCTGCCTCCTGCACGACCCCCACTGGGGATGTGCCTGCAACCAACATACATGCCCTTGACCAGAATCAAATCTGGGACCTTTCAGTCCGCAGACCGACACTCTATCCACTGAGCCAAACCGGTTTTGGCCACATCACCCTATTTTAATAAACCTGACTTATCTAGCTTTGGACTACATGTCCTTTGGACCAGTTGTCAGAAGTTTAGAATACACATAATAATTTTCAAAATGCTTCCTCTAGGTATCTTCCGGGCAGTTTAGGGATTTTATTTTATTTTATTTTATTTTATTTTATTTTATTTTATTTTAGGCCACAGAAAAAAATTTCTTTTTAAATACTGTTTTAGAGGCAACTTTCCACCACAAACCCCAATGTACCACTTAGCAACAGTGAACTTGAGAAAATTCTCAGAACTTCACCTTAAGCTTGGAGACAAAGCTTAACTCTCAGAGTTTCTAAGATAATGAAAACCTGTGAAAAAGTAAATATGAGACTGTCTTAGACACCTAGCAGCACTTACCAACATTTTTCCTACGTTGCAGTAGGAAAAATTTAATCTTCACTGTTAAATATTTTCATCTTGAAAATTCTGCCGTTTCGCTGGCTGGGTGCTGCTGATGGAGCTCCACGATGGCAAAGCCACAGGATAGGAAAAACCTGGTCCTAATTCACCAGGTGGGAAAGAACTGCTTGGCAATGAGGAAAACGCATTTTAGAGTCTTAAAGAAATAAAATCCTATTGTGTTTGAGACATACATTTTGGCATCTATTTGTTACAATAGTGAGCCTATCCTGTTGAATACATTCTTTAAAAGTTGAATCACGTTCATGAATACCAGACACAGCTGAAGGGATTAGAACCAGTCCTGAACATAAAAATTAAGCAAATGGCTACCTACAAAATACTGAGGAATCCAGCCTCCTTCCCTCCTCAGTTACAGGAAATTGGCAATAAGTCTTAATAACACACAGATGGGACTGTGGAAGTTTTCTCACAGGGTAACTGACTACACTGAGAGAAATAACTTACAGATGATAACAGACAGGGATATTTCCCCTCAATTGAATAGCCCAGCCAGCCAACTCTGCAGTGAAGCCCACAATTTGTCAGGCCCCATCCATACTAAAAGAGTTGTCCAAATTTTGCCTACTTCAAAGTATGAGCTGATAGCCAAGGATCACAACAAAAATATTTTTGGAAAAACACTAGCATCTAGGCAGAAAACAGATCAAATGATAGAAAACATAAAAGAAACAAATAATGCAGGAAGAAGACCTAATCTATATATATATATTATATATATATAACAAAACAAAAAAATATATATAAAAGCCTAAGTGACCGAATGACCAAATAACCAATCAGTCGCTATGATGCGCACTGACCACCAGGGGGCAGATGCTCAATGCAGGATATGCCCCCTGGTGGTGTGTTCCCACAGCGGGAGTACCACTTAGCTGACCATTGGATGCCAGACACTGGGCTCACAGCTGGCAAGCGCTGTGTCAGTGCGAGCCTCTCCGGCCTCCACAGCAGTGCTACTGAGGGGTGACAGCAGGCGTCGGACCTGGGCTCGGGCTCCTCCCTGTCTGCCTGCTGCTTCCAGCACTTCTATATCCCCCAAGGGATATCCAGTATTGAGAGAGGGCACAGGCCAGGCTGAGGGACCCCCACCAGTGTAGGAATCCGTGCACCAGGCCTCTTGTATAATAAATTAAAAAGTAAACACCTATAATTAATGTCCTCAGAGACAGAAATACTAAACCCACAAAACAAAAGAGGATATTATTTCTAAAAATATAGAAATAAACATTCTGGAGAAGGGATGAAAAAAAAGGAGATTTGGGGAATAAATATTATAAAAACTGAAGTTTAAAAATCAATAGATGAGTTAGAAGATAAAATTGTACTTTACACCAAAAAAACCTAGACCCAAAAAGTAGAGGTGTAAAATAGTGGAGGCACAATAACATGTTGACAAGAAAAAAATCTAGGAAACACAATAAAATTTTCAGGATTGAAAAGTGTCTAAATTAAGAGAGTACACTGAATGAGGAACAATGGATATTGTGAAATTTCAGAACACAGGGACAAAGAGAAAAACATAAAAGATTCCAAAGGGAGAGAGAGAAACAAGTCACATTAAAAAAATAGGATTCAGAATGTCACAAATGTATAACTAGAAGCTTAATAAAATGGAGAATTGCCTTGAAAAATAGGAGGAAATATTATTTTCAATGTAGATTGTTATACCTACCCAAAATATGAATCAAGAGAGTTGGCAGAATAAAACATTTCTAGAGATGCAAATCTCAAAAGTCTAATTTCCATGTACCCTCTCCTAACATTAGGAGGAGAAAAGGAGATACAAAATCCTAGAAAGAGAAGATCCAACCTAGGGCAAATGAGATTCCCAGGTCAGTGAAAAGAGATGCATCTTAGAGAACCAGACCACACTGGAGCAAAACAACAAACAACTCCCAAAAGATAACGATGGGTGAAACTGAGAAGATGATAAATTAATTTAATCATATTGAGAAGAAAAGTATCTGTTGGCAAAATAATAATAATATGTTGATTAATAAATTATAGATATAAAGAAAAAAACAAAAAAGAGGAAGAAAAATAATCACTTCCTATTGATTAAGATCATAGGTCTAAGCCAGTGGTTGGCAAACAGCGACTCTCGAGCCACATGCGGCTCTTTGGCCCCTTGAGTGTGGCTCTTCCACAAAATACCACGTGCAGGCACGCACATATAGTGCAATTGAGACTTCGTGGCCCATGCGCAGAAGTCGGTTTTTGGCCTGGGTGAGTCTATTTTGAAGAAGTGGCCTTAGAACACTCAAGGGGCCAAAGAGCCACATGTGGCTCTTGAGCCGAGGTTTGCTGACCACTGGTCTTAGCCACTCAGCAGTTACTTAAACTAGAAGATGATTTCTCATGTAAAAAAAAAAAAAGTCCAGAGATCGGCAGTCCTAGGCGCCCACTATGGTGCCCCCTGGTGTCAGAACCTAGGCTTCTTTTATCTTGTTGTTCTGCCATTTTCAGCATGTGACTACTACTTCACAATTCAAGAATTTAAGCCATTACATCCACATCCCAGCAAGCAGAAATTAGAAAGGGACAACGAGGGGAACAAACCCTCCAACACTGCTTTAAGATCACTCATAGTAGGTCATAAACACGCTAACATCCCATTGGCCGGGACTTGGTCACATGGATAGATCTCAGTGCAAGAGTTCTATTACTAATTTTTAAAAACAGGGGGTTGAGGGGGCCAGAGGCAATGCATATTGAAAAATGGTTAGCAGTCTCTACTCACTCCCTCCTGCACTCTTTCCATATTCTACTTGTTTTTCCTCGTAGCATTTAGTAGTCCCTGATATGTTTTCTCTCCATGTTTATCTGTTTCCCCCAACGAAAGGGCAGGGACTTTTTGTCTTTTGTTCACCTCTGTACCAGTTTCTGGACATGTGCCACAAGCATAGAAGGGATTTAATAAATATGACTTGAATGTGTGAATGAATTAATACCATGTTTTGCCTAATAAAATACATTTCAACATAGAGATCCCCCCTGGGCACTGGTGCTGCTTTGTTTTGTCTTGCCTGGTTAGAAATGAATGCCCATCGACTGGAAAACCTGAAGCGCCCCCTCTGAGAATTACTAATCCTCTGAACAGGTGATTCAAACTCTGCACAAACCACAGGTGATGGCCATGCAGGAGTTCACAATACTGCTTGATGGCCAAGCAGTATTGTTTCCGGGCGCAGTAACTACTATAATTCTGTGTTTCGTTACGTATTGTGTATAACAGTGTGATTAGTAAGTAAAAAATGTGAACACCAATATAATGCAAATGGATGTAACAACGAACTAGACTGAATGGAAGCATCATCATCAGGTGTGGGGAAAGAAGTGTCCTTGGGGGGAGTGGTAGGTTAATGACCTAACCCTCATTTTCCAAGCAATAGACATACCTACGATTTAAAATATCAAGGAATGACAGAAAACGTCAGGAAGAAAAAGGGGTGATGGGGTGGGGAGGTGGTGGGAACAAGCCTCAAGATACACCCCGAAACGTTGCCGTTAACTCTGGGGACCCATGATAAGGGGCAGCAGGGAGGACAACGTTTTCAAGAGGTCTGCTGTTTTGCTTTCTTTTTCTTTTTTTAAATATATTTTATTGATTTTTTTACAGAGAGGAAGACAGAGGGATAGAGAGAAACATCAAGGAGAGAGAAACATCCAACAGCTGCCTCCTGCACACCCCCCACTGGGGATGTGCCCACAACCAAGGCACATGCCCTTGACCTGAATGGAACCTGGGACCCTTCAGTCCACAGGCCAACGCTCTATCCACTGAGCCAAACGGGTTTCGGCTGCTGGTTCGCTTTCAAGGCTTAAACACTATTTCATTTCAAAAGATGTATGTTTCCATTTGACTTCTTCTTCATCTGGTTCGGTGCCCCCATTCCTCTGAGCCCCTGAGACACACAATCTAGGTCACAATGGGGAGCCTTACAAGGGGGGCGCCGGGAAGGAAGGACAGTGAGGGCGCCTGTCTTCGGCTTCAGGTGCCCCCTCCCGGGCCACGGCCTCCACGCAGGACCACGCGCCCCAGACGCCCCCTCCAGGCGCGAACACTGACGAGTTCACGCAACTGCGCAGAGGAGCCGAGGCGACGGGGCCGGGGGGCGGCGCCGGGGCCGCCTCTGCGCTCAGCCAGCCCCACGTCACCTCCCACGTCCGGGGTCAGGAGGTTTGAGGAAACAAAGGGCGCCCCGGGGTGCGAGGCCACAGTGGCCACACCCGCGGCGGAGCCCGGCGGACCGGGCGGACCGGCCCGCGCTCCTCGATAGCGGGAGGCGGAGCTCAGCGCCCGCGCGCCCGCCCCGAGCGAGCCTGCGTCCGAGGGCTGTCCAGGCGCTTCCCGCCGGACGAGGAGGAGGAACCCAGGAAGGATCACCGGCCGCCGCCCCCCGCCGCGCCATGCTGCTCCTCCGAAGCGGCCTGACCAGGGCCCTGGCCGCGCGGACCCGGCCGCCTCAGGTACACGGCGCGCGGACGCCCCCCAGCCACTCCCCGGCGGCGGGAGGGGGAGGGACGTGTGCGGCCGCGCCGGACCCGCGCATGCGGCCTCCGGGCCCCGAGCCAACACCTGGACTGCGCATGCGCGCCTCCTGCACAGCCAGCCCTGCAGCCACCTCCAAGCTGCCCTCCTGCCCCTCCAGCCCTTCCAGCTGCTGGGGGTCTGGGACCTCTAGCAAAGACAGGTGGGAGCAAAAGTAGGTTGACAGTTGCTCCTATGGAACATAATATAATTAATAATATTCTGTGCCTTGTGTATTCACAACTGTCAGCCTCCTGTGGCCCGCCCTGTCACATGAACTCCTTTAACCTTAGTTGAGTAAGGTACGAAGTAGATTTTTGTGATTCAGCCTTCACTGTAGGGAATTGGTCTAGTCCAGTGTTTCCCAAACTTTTGACATATGTGTACTCCTTCTATAATTTTCGTAACGCTGAGTACCCCTCGTACTCATGAGAATGTAGAATTAGGCGCAGCTAAGCATGGTGCAGTGCATATCCCCACCAAACTCCGGTGCAACGCATACCCCCACCAAACTCTTCCCGTACCCCTGGGGGTACGTGTAGCACAATTTGGTCTAGTCCAATGGTCGGCATACTCCTTAGTCAACAGAGCCAAATAGCAACAGTACAACGATTGAAATTTCTTTTAAGAGCAAAATGTTTTAAACTTAAACTTCTTCTAACGCCACGTCTTCAAAATAGACTCGCCCAGGCCGTGGTGTTTTGTGGAAGGGCCACACTCAAGGGGCCAAAGAGCCGCCTGTGGCTCACAAGCCGCAGTTTGCTGACCACGGGGACTCTAGTCTGTAAATCTAACCAGAGATATATTTTCTTTTGATGTTTATACTTTTCTCCTTTCTCTGTGGCCAGGATCCCAAGGGGTTTAACCTAGGGCTGTGAGGAAGGAAGAGGGAGAAAGAGATGGATACATCCATGATGAGAGAGAATCATGGATCGGCTGCCTCCTGCAAGTCATCCACTGGGGATCGAGCCCACAACCTGGGCATGTGCCCTTGACCAGAATTGAACCTGAAACCTTTCAGTTCACAGGTCGAAGCTCTGAGCCAAACTGACTAGGGCAGTTCTGATGTTTTTTCCCAACATCCCTCTGCCTGGTCCAATGGGAAAGTAGCCAAGGGGTGGGTGGTTCCACCTATGGGTCAGGACCTGAAACAAAACTTAGGCAAGATGTTATCTTTAGCCCAGAGGTCTGGACCTTGAGACCATTAGTCAGGTGTGGACTACTGTCTTCTGCTGACTTACAGGTTGGTAATTAACCGGGAAAGGCCAGGTCTCTAAGGAGGTATAGACAGGGAGATTAGTTTTAGAGCTAGGATTTAAAACTAAATGTTATCAAACTCAGTTTCATACCTTTGACCACGGATTTGTTTCCAAATACAAATTCCCTGAGAATCAACTTAAAAAGCAATTTTTACAAATACCCCCCACTGTCCCATTTTCCAATATACCTGATCCATAATGCTTTTTAACGATAATACCAGGCAGTTGTTTATTTGTATCACATTCTCTTATTAGAATTTAGTTAAAATGACACAAAAAGCATGTCATCCAAAAGTAAGAGCAGCTGCAATTCCTGCTTTTGGGTGGGAATTCCTGCTTCCCAGGGAAGCTTAGACACTGGGCAATAGGAATGTCACTTTAGTAGCCAACAGTGGAATGAACTAATATCGATCATTAGAACTATAACATTTTACACAATCAAATAAAATACATAGATAATTTTGTGTTTTAACCAAAAATATAGGGTGTCCCCCCAAAACATGTATATACACTTTAACAGCTGATGTTTCTTTCTTTTCAGATTTAACCCATTGGAATTAATAATTAGTCAAATTATGCATACATTTTGAGGGGACACCCTGTGTGTCAGAGAAAGAAGTCCACTAATTTCATTCGACATATTAGATAGTATAATTTGTCCATAATTTACTTTGCACCAAAACTTTAAATAGGTAATACTGATTCATCAGCTTCAGAAAATTGGCACATAATAGCCAAAACTATATACAATAGGATGGATTTGTAAATGCAAATGCCCTTTCCGAGTATATGCATTCACCTGACCTGTGCATGTACACACACACATGAATACACAGAGGATCATTTCTAGTAGGGCATTTCCTACCTAAAGTTAAGTTCACTCAGACTTAGGGGTACTAAATTAGAACAAAAATTTATATAGTGAGCATGTAACTAATACAAAAAGAACTAATGGTTCGTAAGATATATTTCCATCAACCTGGTGTAATTGGATAGATGAAATGCCCTTCAGATTCATCTGTAATTAAACCTAATAATGATTCAGACAATTCTGGCCTGTTGTTCTTTTCCTTTACAGAATTCATAAAGAGTTCTCTGCTAGTAAACACATTTTTATCATGTCTGTCAGCATATGTGCATATTTTATAAAGTTTATTTAAATGCAAAATTGTAACACCTAAACACATAGACTAGAGATAGAATATTGTCTAAATAAGGTAAAACATGTGTAGATTTATTATATTAGAATCTTGAATAAGGACCGATTAAGACTCCAGTGTCTCATTATGGTTAACTTTTCATGAAAAGATGGCTAATGGTGGACCCCTGCCAGGAAACAGTAGCTATGTATTCACCGTACTCTGACATCTCTTTAAATAGTTATCTATGGAGAGATGAGAGCAGAGGTACAAGCAAGAACTATGGTAAGTCTATGAGTATCCCTTGTTTCCAAATTCAGATTTAGTTGTAGCATAATATTATAAGCCCTACCTTTCCCAGATATTTGAATTTTCCATATCTCTTTTTAGGTGTGCTCATCTTTTGCTACAGGACCTCGACAAAGCGATGGAACATTCTATGAATTTCGTACCTATTCTCTTAAGCCTTCAACGATGAATCAGTTTTTGGAAAATTTTAAGAAAAATGTACATCGCCGGACAGCTTACTCTGAATTGGTTGGATACTGGAGTGCAGAATTTGGAGGCAGAGTGAATAAAGCATTTCATATTTGGAAGTATGGTATGAGTAATCAGCTTAAGTATTCAGTACAGATTTTCATTCTGTTAGTTGTTACATGTGTCTTAGTTCTTGGATCTATGTTACCATAAATACACACAGGTTAAACTTTAAAAAAGCAGAACAACAAGAACAAAAAACCATTGGTTATTCCTCCCAGTGCGAAGTATGCTTCTAACAACTTCTTGCTCAAATCCTTGTGTTACTATAAATGGCTTCTCATCATAAAATTGTGAGCTAGATTTTAATTCTCAGGAAAAAAATTGTAAAGTGGGTTATTATAAAGATGATTTCTGAAAAATTTAAAGCACTAATTGTAAAAGCCCAAGTGGGTTAAGATCATAAAAGGAGAGGAGAGTACTTTTTATTTATTGTTGAAGCTTCAACTAGATGTCAGGATTTTAGTGGAAACGGTTGAGATATTTAGGAGCTTGAGGGTGGGTAATAGAGGTTGATGTGGATGATAGTTAACTTCTAGGCATCACCCAACTCTGAGACTTAATAATTTATGTTTATGGAACCAGTTTTGTCATTTGTACACCCAGGGTTTTAGGGAATTCAGTATTATGCTGTGCAGAGTTCTCCCACTATGGAAGGTGAGCTAATCGTGGTTTAGAAGAGGAAAGAGACAACATTATAGGAATCCCCAGAATGCTTGGTACTCCTGTGTCAAATCTTGGTGAAGTGCACAACAAGACTTGATGATAACCAAGGCACTTTTAATTTCATTTAGTATTTGGTCAGATAAAGCACTTTATTTAATATGAAAGGTGCTCATTCTCTACTTGACATGGCCATTGGTAGGTGTTTTCTCTGTTGTAATAGAACAAACCCAATAAAAACACAATTTGTGTGTGACTGTGCAAACAAGTAGAACTGTTTCATTTAAAAATTACTTAGGGTCCTGGTTTAACTGACTTAAGCTCTGAGGTAGAGGTTACTATCCATCTTAAGGCCCTAATAGTAAACATAGTACTTGGTCCATATACTTAGTAAATACATATACCTGTTTGAGTAACAAACAGAAGAGAAATAATACGGGGTAAAACACTAGGTGGCAATAAGTAAGATAGTCAGCATTATTTCTTTGGAAGCTATTTGTTCAAAGAAGATGAAACTGTAAACTTGCATATTTTTAAAGATTTTGTTTTGAGAGAGAGAGAGAGAAACATCAATGTGTGAGTAAAATATCTATTGACTCCCTCCTGCATGGCCCCATTAGGAATTGAGCCTGCAACCCACTCTTGTGCCCTGACTGAAAATCAAACCAGTAACCTTTAAGTGCACAGGATGATACACAACTAAGGAGCCACACCAGCCAGGGCTGTAAACTTGCATCTTAATTTCATTTATGTTACATTTAAGACCTGACCACCATCACCATCACAACCACCAAAGGAAAATAGTATTTTCCCAAACTGGTAATATAAATGACTCAAAGTAATAAGAATCCTCTCTAATAAAAGAGAAACATGCAAATTGTACCTTCGCTACACCCACAAGCCATGCCCACCAGCCAATCAGGCGAGTAGGCAAATTAACCCAACCAAGATGGCAGAGACTGAAAATAGGGTAGAAAGAAGCCAAGTGCTGCAGAAGGGAGCGAAGCTGAGAAGAAGCAAGCAAGTGGGGTGCTGGATAAGGCAGGGAAGCAGGCAAGCAGGTGGGGCGGGGAGAAGGGCGAGAAGCCAGCGGGGGCAGGGCTGCGGAGAAGGAAGGGAAGCAGGCCGGAAGGGGAAACCGAAGCAGGAAGCCCTATTGCAGGAATCTTCCTGCAAGGGGCATCTAGTAGTTCATATAAATTGAGTACTAACTAGCTGCCAAACACTGTTCTCAGCTCCTTGCATGTATTAATTCATTTCTTCCTGACAACACACCTGTAGGTGTATATATTATAGCTGTTTCCATTTCTACACCCCTTTTAGGCAATGAGAAACTCAGGATAGATGTCCCACCTATTTGGTGTGGAGGAGGGGTATCCCAGCGATTGAATGCAGTGTTCCTATATGGCCTTGGTGAACATGTGCTGAATCGAATGCAATCCAAGAAATGTCTAGATGATTTTAATAGAAAGTTTTTATTTTCCTTACTCCTTTTCTTCCCATAGATAATTTTGCCCATCGAACTGAAGTGCGGAAAGCCTTGGCCAAAGATAAGGAATGGCAAGAACAATTCCTCATTCCAAATTTGGCTCTCATGGATAAACAGGAAAGTGAAATTACTTACCTGGTACCATGGTGCAAATTAGAAAAGCCTGCAAAAGAAGGTAAGTCCATTCCACCCAGTCACTTTGAGTTTTGATGTATAAAATACTAAACATTTGAAACTATAAAAACTAAAGTTTCTGAGGGGGAAAAAACAATAAGCCTTTGTTTTAGAGAGTGCTATATTGTGATTATAGATATGAAATGAATTTGAGCTCTTAGCTTCTCACTAAACCAATGAACATTAGCAGTGTTTTTCCAATTTGGAAGAAAAAAAAAAAAGCTCAGCGTTTTGGTATGAATATAAAAAGTTGACATGTTATGGAGAGTAAAGGTTGAAAAGTTGAGGATTTAGAGCAAGTATAGACAGTGAAGGATAATATATGAAATTTTGTCATAGTTTAGTATTTTAGTATTTTTTACACAAATTATAGCTAATGAAGTGTATCTTAATTTCATTTATGTTAACTTTGCTTATAAGACTGGCTGGGGGATGAATTAAAGTGTAAGCTCTATTACTATATTTTAACTTTTTTGTTTTCTTATTTCTTATTTCTCAGTTTGAACATAATTACTAAAGATTTGTCTTCTTGCTAATTTAACTTCCTTATAGACTTTAAGGAAATACTATTTACCTCAACCTAGTTTTAAACAAAGGTCAGATTTTTTTAAAAAGCATAAACTAGGCCGAGACCGGTTTGGCTCAGTGGATAGAGTGTCAGCCTGCGGACTGAAGGGTCCCAGGTTCGATTCCGGGAAAGGGCATGTACATTGGTTGCGGGCACATCACCAGTAGGGGGTGTGCAAGAGGCAGCTGATCGATGTTTCTCTCTCATCGACATTTCTAGCTCTCTATCTCTTTCCCTTCCTCTCTGTAAAAAATCAATAAAATATATATTTAAAAATAAAATCTCAGATTCCACTTTGGGTCCATTGTTTGCTTGCTGTTTCTTTTAGAAATGGAATCCTATAGAGGGAAATTACATGAACAAAAAATGTATTTTTTTCTCAGAATTGGAGGAAGAAGGATATATAGGTCAGAAACTACTTTTCTTATTCATTTCTTACCTGAATTGGGTAGCTAAAATTCCTAATCCTATAACAAATTCTCAATATTTGCTTTATTTTATAGATTAAAAATATTTCAGATAATAGCTTGCTATAGCTTCCCTTTGGTTTTGTATGATAAGCTTAACAACTGATCCTTAAACATGGACAAGAACTTTCTAAACATAGAAGCAAGGAAAAATAATGCAAAGAATTCATAATGTGTCCACATAAACATGTATACACATATGATCCTTGAAATTTGTATATATACATTAGCCTCCCACTGGAACCGTACTCACCTGATGAGAAATTTCTTGAATATCTTTTGTAAAATACGTATTTTTCTCCCTTCTCTAGGAGTCTATGAACTGGTTACTTTCCACATGAAGCCCGGTGGGCCAGCTGTATGGGGTGACACATTCAAAAAAGCAATTAACGCCCATGTCATTCTAGGCTACTCAAAACTAGTTGGAGTTTTCCACACAGAATATGGAGAACTCAACAGAGGTACAGTTGTCCAATTTCTTCTATGAAATTACAAAATATATTGGTGAACTACTAAATCGCTTGGGTCATTTTGTCTCACTTTTTCATTATGGCATATATTTTAATTTTTATTGACAAATTTTTAAGTTTTTCTTTTATTTTTAAAGGTTGAAAAAAAAACACACCTCTTTTACTTCTTGTCTATATAGAATGTTAACACTTTATGAAGCCTGTTTCAAAGGTGAATGTTGTTTTCCATGGTACATCAGAATGATAAAATTAAAATATACAAGGAGCCTCAAGAAAATATCTGTTTTTTTTTTCTTTTTTCTCCTCTAAATATATTTTTATTGATTTAAAAAAATAACATTAGTTGGGGGTAGAGATATTGCCTTAGAATGAAAAAATATTATGTATTTTAAAATACCAAAAACATGGACTTGCTCAAAGGGAGAAACAAACGTTTCCCACCACTGTAAAGATAACACTGTTAACATTTGGTTTTTGTATTCCTGTGTTATTCATATATATAAGAAGACCAAAATGTAATCATATATATATATATATATATATATATATATATATATGTCAGATGTAATGCATATGCATTATTAATAATGACTTTCTAACACTCTGGTGTGAGGCTATACATATAGAAGAATAGTAATATGCTGAGTATGAATCAGCACATCATTTCTGGAAGACAGTGTATATAATACGTACATTGTACACATATAAGTACATATTAGATGTACTCTTTGGTCCTCTCAGTTTGAATTTTGGGACTCTATTTTGAGGAAATAATCAGATCCAAACTGTTTGGCTTTGAATCCCAACTCCACCACTTATAACTTAGTGATGTTGAAGGAGTTACTCTACCTCACCATGCCTTCCATTGCTTATCGATAACAACCTACCACCTAAGATTTTTATGAAGCAGACCTGGCACAGAATAGGCACAAAATAAGCAAAGATGTTGGTAGTTATCTTTGACATTGTTAATATTATAGATACACATATAGGTGCTACACAAAGGAGGTTTATATGCCAGTATTGTTTACAGGAGGAAATATTGGGAACAATGGTAATGACACATACATGGTATGTATACAATGCACTTATATTACACAGATAGACATATATGTCCATCATATATATCATTTATCAGTAAGACCCTAATTTTATTTTGTTCATATTTTTTAAAGAAAAAAAAAAAGACTAAGCATTAATAGAGGTTTTCTCTGGGCAGTTAAAATTATGCTACTTTTTATTTTCTTCTATGTATCTTCCAAATTTTCCATAATAAACACTTTTTTATATAATATTGTGAGTTTTGTTTTGTTTTGTTTTGTTTTGTTGTTTTTTTTAAAGTAAAATGTAGCCGAAACTGGTTTGGCTCAGTGAATATATAGAGCATTGACCTGCAGACTGAAGGGTCCCAGGTCAAGGGCATGTACCTTGGTTGCGGACACATCCCCAGTAAGGGGTGTGCAGGAGACAGATGATCGATGTTTCTCTCTCATCAATGTTTCTAACTCTCTATCCCTCTCTCTTCCTCTCTGAAAAAATCAATAAAACCTATTTTTTTTTTTAAGTAAAGTGAAGTAGGAAGGAATGAAACCGAGGTCCATTCTTGATTGTCAATGTCTTTAGTTGTATTACTTTACTTCCCCTGTCCAGCCTTCTGTTTCATCTATAAAACCAGCTTTGAATCAGTTTATAAATGTCTCTCCCAAATCTGTGACCCCTCTGAAATTGATCACCAACATATTCAGTCTTCCTTTTTTGATACTCACTTTTTTGACTTAAAGAATAAGAGTTAACATATCTGATGAACTTTTCTTCATTTCTTCTTTATAGCCACGCCATAGTCTTTAGAATCTGTTTCTGGTTTCTCTCTGTAGTTCACGTTCTCTGGTGGCATGAGAGTGCGGATAGTCGTGCAGCCGGGAGACATAAGGCTCATGAGGATCCCAGAGTCGTGGCTGCTGGTAAGCCATTTCACTGGGCATTACTCTTAAGACAAATACGATTTAGTCAGTAACTTTATATGCCTTCTTATATGATTTTTTTTCTCCCCCAGTTCGGGAATGTGTCACTTACCTAGTGTCTCAGCAGAATATGCTTCTGATTCCTACATCGTTTTCACCATTGAAATAGTTTCCCACTGAAATACAAAGCATTTCAAGAACTATCTTAAGATGTGTCTGCTAATGGTACTTAAATACTTCCATGGGCGTCTCTTATTTGAAGAAGGTGGTAAGTTAATTCGCTATGTGTCTGCATTTTTAAAGCCACCTCTGTTCTTTGTCATTGCCACCTCAGAAGGTAGCTCTGTTCATTGTCCCTCCCCGTGGCATTTCAGTAACTATACTATAGAAATAGTTGCCACTATTTATGACCTTGATTATCCTTTTTTTCCAAAATATCTCTTATTCTCTATTTTGATGACCCTTTCCTTTATAGCATTTTCTTATACTTAAATGATGTCTCTACATTTCTATGCCTGATAGAATTTTAAAATTATTTACATGCAATGTCTGTATTTTCAACATGTCTGTTTTTTCTGGGATTTAAAAAAATATTTTGTCCAGTAAAATTTATTTTGTAATAGCAAATGGGATTCGTAAGAATATCAGATCAAATGTATTTCCTTACCTTGGGAAAGTGCAGTATCATTGTGTCATCTGTATCAATTATGGTTTTCACATTAATTGTTGGTCACTCTGATTTGGAAAATAATGTAATTCTCAATGTTAAAAATAAATTCAGCCAAAACCGGTTTGGCTCAGTGCAGACTGAAAGGTCCCAGGTTCAATTCCGGTCAAGGGCATGTACCTTGGTTGCGGGCACATCCTCAGTAAGGGGTGTGCAAGAGGCAGCTGATTGATAATTCTCGCTCATCGATGTTTCTAACTCTCTATCCCTCTCTCTTCCTCTCTGTAAAAAATCAATAAAATATATTAAAAAATAAATAAATAAATTCAGAAGTCTTGTTTCATATGCTGAATGTATACATGTATAGTTAATTTTGTTTTGTTCATTTTAGATGACTAACAAAGATACTTGGGACATCTGTTTCAAAAGAGATTTTGTGGTCATGGAAATGCTTGCCCTAATAAAAGCCTACATATCCATTCTGGATTTTTTAAATTTATATTATCTTCTCTAAAGTTTTCACTGTGTTCCTGTAGGGTCTTGACACAGTAATATTTACCAGTACAATTGCAAATGTGAAGTTCCATGAAATCAGCATGGAGGTAATTCCAGGAGAGTTTCGTTAGGATCACCACAGACATACTAGGGTTTTCCGTGACACATGTGAAATTTCTAGTTGAGTGCCTCTCAACCTTCTGATACTAAATTTGATACTTCTATGTTCCCTTGATTATCTATATTTACAGCTGTATTATTTTACATTTCTAAGATATATTGGAAATAAAATCATAAATTATGAGTTGGCTAAGGGAAATCTGAACAACAACATCAAGTGTGTACGGTTTCTGATTAAAGAAATGTCTAATTATTAAAAAACCAAAACAAGGACACAAAACTCTGGGGGGTGAGGGCATGTATGGGAGTGGGGTAAGGGCAATGGTAAGATATGTACGCATATAATACCTAATTAAAAAAATGAAGAAGAAAAAAATACCTGGCCAGTTTTCAGTGGTTAGAGCATTGGCCCGCAGCCTGAAGGGTCTCAGGTTTGACTCCGGTCAAGGACATGTACCTTAGTTGCACGCTCTATCCAGACTCAGTCCTAGGCCTCAGCAGGGGGGCACATGTGGGAGGCAATTAATCAATGTCTCTCTCTCACATTAATGATTTTTTTTTCTCTCTCTGCTTCTCCCCATCCATTCCACTCTCTTAAAAAAATCAATTGAAAAAATATCCTCAGGTGAGAAGTAACAACAACAAAAAATCAGAAAGGTGAAATGTTGCTTAAGTGCAGCTTATCTGTATATATAAAAGCCTAAGCAACAGTCCGACTATTTGACAGTCTGACCAGTAGCTATGACACACATTGGCCAACAGGAGCAGACACTCAACACAGGAACTGCCAAGCTGCGGTGACTTGGCAGCTGTGGTTCTTGGGTGACGCACCTGGAACCAGAAAGGAGGGAGCCTGATTCTGGGGTGCATCACCCGAGAACCGCCCTCTAGCAATCAGGGACCCCTCAGAGATGTCGGAGAGCCGGTTTCAGCCCATTCCCTGCAGGCTGAGGGACCCCACTGGTGCATGAATCCGTGCTCCGAGCCCCTAGTACCTTTATAAAAATCCAACCTTAGCTGGGTGACTCGGTTGGAGTGTCATCCTGTAAACCAGAAGATTGTGGGTTTGATTCCCCATCAGGGCACATACCTAGGTTGCAGGTTTTATCCCCACAATCAGTGTTTCTTTCTCTCTCCCCCTTCCTCTTTAAAAATCAATAAAAACATATCCTTGGGCAAGGATAAAAAAAAAAAAAAAAAAAAAAGGAATCCAAATAAAAGCTTTATAATCCAGCTATTGTCATGTTTTCTGCTTTCCTTCAATGCAAGACTCTGCAGTGTTGTGTATATCTCACCATTTTCCCTTCCCTATCTCTTATCTTCCCTGAGCCCAATCCAGGAAGGCTTACCTCCTAGTCAATCACTGAAATGACTCTCCTGAGGGTCACTGAGGACCTTTGTGTTACCAGATTCAATGGTATCTTGCTGCCTTTAGTTGGCTCACCTCCTCAGCTGTGTTGGAGACAAGTGACTCTGCCTTCCTCACTTGATTCTGAGCATCGATCTGTGGAATCATACTCATATTTCCCTCCTCCTCACTGGCCAGTCCTTCTCTTTCCTTTGTTGGCTTCTCTTCTAAATGTGATAGGGTCTCAGATCTCAAGATACATGCTCAGTCAGTCCCAAGACTCAAATACCACACACGTGCTGACAGTTCATACATTTTTATCTTTTTTTTCTTATCATTGCTTCTGAGCTCCAATCTGAAATACCAGCTGCCTTTTTAACACAACCACCTACCTCATTCAGGTCACAAAAGAAGTCACTTTGATAGCTCTCTTTCCCTCAGCCCCTACTTGCAGCATGTCAGCTCCTGAATATTTCTCTTCTTCCCTGTGTCTTTTGCTTCCAGCCTCCATCATTCTCTTACTTAGCCTTCCTACTGTCCTTTCTCCCCATCCAGCCAGCATTCTTTCTGAAAACAGATGAGGTCCAACCACTACCTTGTTTAAAACTCTCCACTGCCTGCTCATTGCACAGACGATAAAATCCAGGTACCTTGGCCTGGCCTGTGAGGCTATAAGCTCTGAGGGCCCCTCCCCCCCAACACACACACACACACACACACACTGCAGAGATGCTGCAGTCTCTCTCCCGCTCCCAACTTGCCACGCTTTTTCCCACCTCTCTCTCACATTAATTTTTCTCTCTGCTTCTCCCCCTCCATTCTACTCTCGGAAAAAAAAAAAAAAAAATCAATGGAAAAAGTATCCTCAGGTGAAGAGTAACGACGACAACAAAAAATCAGAAAGGTGAGATGTTGCTTAGCTGCAGTTTACTTATATATATATATATCGATATATAAAAACCTAAGTGACCGTCCGACCATTAGACATATTTTCCTCCTCCTCATAGTCTGACCAGTAGCTATGATATGCTGTATTGTTGTTCAAATTTTTTCTTAGCCAACTCATAATTTATGATTTCATTTCCAATATCTCTTAGAAATATAAAACAATAGTGTTCCTTCTTCCAGGAATGTTCTTCCTGCCCACCTTCAAATACTGGCGCCTCCTGCTCCTTTTAATCAGATCCGAGCATAAATGTCACTCCTCACACGGGGGGTGGGGCCATCTCTGGTTCCTCCCTATCGTTATCCCGTGACCATGTGCCATCATCTTGGTACTGACCAGCTGTCTGAACTTATTCTATTTGTCCACACATCCATTGTGAATGTGAACATATTTTCTGCACTGAAGTTTAAGTTCATTAGAGCAGGAATTCTGTCTTTGACACTGGATCCCAAACTTAGAAAAATATCTGGCACACAGTAGAGATCCATCAGTATTTGTTGATTTATCGTAGAATGATGCCATATTGATCGGGATAATTTTAAGTGATACCCAGCTTCACCAAGAAGAACCCTCTGCCGGTTACTAGCCATATCACTTGGGACAAGTTCCTTATCATCTGAGCCACAACTTACTCGTATATCAAATGGTGCTATTTATGTCATAGGGCAGGTACCAATTGAGGATTAAATGAGGTGCCTGACAACGCAATAAACACTTGGAAAAAGGTAGCTAATTTTCTGTTATACTTTTTCCATATTTAATGTATTCATTAGTTTTCCAAAGGCTCCAGATTTTTTTTTTTTTAAATCTGTAAATGTTGATACTGGCTTTTCTCTGGATAAGAGAATGTTTTGGTCAAAACTCACGGGTAACATTTTCATCTAAATTAACTCTTCATTCCTCAGTAGTTTGTTCCTTTCCCTCCATCAGTTGCATAGAAGTCGCAGTAATGTGATCTCCAGGGGTTGGCGGGGAGAGACAAAGGGGGTATGCTGATGCTGAGCAGTCAACCAGAGTTCACATCCATGCCTTGGGCAGGGGACTGTTCAGAAGAGTCACCAATAGAGCCACAACTCCACTGCGCTGCCTGCCAGGGGGTGTCGGACAGGCGTTCTTCCAGGACCAAAATAAGCAGACATTGTTTCTGAGACTTGAATTGCTCATGACCTGTAAAAACTAGTCCACTCGGCTCATCACAGTACCACACGGTCTCGGGTGCAGACGGCACCCGCTCCTTTGACATTAGTCTCAGTCTCCCTTCTCGGCCCACATCCTCCTTCCCCTGTACACTCGTCCTTTCACCAGCCCAGCACCTTCCAGTACACTTGCCACAGGGTGTCCCTGCATTTTGGCTGAGCAAACAAAAGGGCACTGAAGGCTGCCTTGTAGCTTTCTCATCGCCATGTGAAGAAATGAGGTTTTGTGAAATAGGCTTAGCCTCACAGGGTTTGCAGAGATCACCGCTTCATCATCACGAAGCAGAACACATTTACCAAAAGACTTCATGAACTTAATCTCAGTGATTTTTTTTAGCTGAATTGTGAAAGTGCAAAACACCGTTTTTCAGACTTTCTGCGAAGTCCCCTCAGTTCTCTTTTGTGATGACTAGAATATGGAGCCTTTTCTAGAATTTCTACTTTGGATCCAAATTGCTTTAACAGCAGGTGGTGCTCCAAATGCACAGAAATAAATGTGTATAGATCAACAGAACCATCACAGCTTTATTTCTTCATGACTCATTACAACACAGAAATATGCTTTTAATACTTCATATAAAGTTATAGACAATACAAATATTTTTTTTTCTTTTTTCACCCTTTTAATGAAAATGATTTAACTTAGAAATCTATTGTGAAACTTTTGTCTAGTTTTGCAATTCTCAGATATTCCAGTGCAAAAATAGATCCCATTACAGACAACATAAAGTGCTTGGAATGAAGGGCCGATGGTAAAGAAAAAGCACAAAAACATAGCTTCATCCTAGGATATAGGAAGAATAGAATACCTAATCCTATGTAAATAGAAACATTCTATAAAAGGGATGCAATGATTTTAAAGAGAGTTAGAGCACTACTCTATATAGTACTGTATTATTACTAGTAAGTAGTAACAAGGGTACAAATTAATATTTCAATGTCAAAGTGGTTCAATATTATATGACACATGGCTCTTTGGAAATATTTTTTTCCTGATAT